AATTTTGGCCACAGTTTAGTTGGCAAATTTTTAGATTCTGTCATGAACAGAATATTTTCAACTGATAATGAAATTTGTGAAGACAACAGTCAACAAGTTTACACATTCCTACAGAACAAGACTTTGTAATGCAGTTTTTCAGCTTATACAATTTCTTGATCACAGAATAGTCTCGTTATTGGGCCCGGCCCGACCAACCTAGAGAGAGAGCTAGTACTCTAACTAGGTTTGTAAACGTGTCGAGCCGAGCTCGAGCTTAGGGTGTTCGAGCTCGAGCTCGAGCCCTTAACGAGCCGAGCCGAGCCGAGCTCGGCTCGTTAAATAAACGAGCCTAAAATCGAGCTCGAGCTCGGCTCGTTAAGGCCTCAGCTCGAGCCTTAACGAGCCGATTTCGAGCTTTAACGGGCCGAACTATAAAAATTATATAAAAATTCTATTTTCGAGCCTTATCGAGCCGAGCTGCCAAACGAGCTTTTAATGAGCTCGAGCTCGGCTCGTTAAGGCCTCGAACTCGAGCCTTAACGAGTCGAGCTCGAGTCGAGCCGAGCCAAGCCAAGCTCATTTAATTTAACAGCACTAACTCTAACCAACTAGTTTTTGTTGTTTCTTTTGTTTTCGTAGGATTTGATCTTTCCATGTATGTTGTGGTTTTCAATTTTTTTAATTTTTTTTAGTTCCTTTGGAGATTTTACGATTATTAGTTCAACCCTGTATTCTAAAAATCGGCATAGATAGCGCCTAGGCACTAACGGTGTCAGCCTGCCTCCGATTTTGCATAAATCGGCTGAAAAAATCGGTCACACGGCTAGGCGGGCTTTGCGGCACCTAGGCGAACCTAGGCGTCACTTAGGCGCTCCTAGGCGGGCTCGGCGGAAATTTTTTAATTTTTTTTTTATTTTTTTAAAATACTAATTACATTATTTTGTTATCATGTTTTCGGGAAATTCTACGGTCCCGTTACGGAACCATTTCGTCGGGATTTGTAACCGTTAGATCAACTATCCACTACGTTTACATGATGATATAATAGTTACAAATCTCGTCGAAATGATTCTGTAACGGGACTGTAGTATTTCCCAATGTTTTCTTTATAATATAGTAATATACTAATATCATTATTTAGATTTAGGTGTTTTGATTATTATAAGTTGAATAGCTTTATTTTGTAGATAGTGAAAATAAATTAAAAAAAAAAGATATTTAATTAATCTTGATTTCTAAGCCCCATCTAGACGTTGACTAGGCCCCTCCTAGGTGTTGCTCGAGCGCCTAACGAGCGACTAGCATCTTCTAGAAGACTATCATTTCATTGGAACATTCAATTGGTATGAGCTATTAGTGGTATGTATAAGCTGTAAAACAAAATGACCCAAAGTGGCCTCAGCTCAACTCGTTAAAGCTAAAAAACAAGATTTTTATGTAATTTTTTTTTGGGAAATTTTTATCTCTACTTACCGATTTTAAAGTAATTGCAAACTTATCATTGAAACAAAAAATTTTGTGTATATACCTAAAGGATAGAAAGTAATTATACACATGCCTA